CTTGTACCTGGTTCTTTGATTAACTTTGTTAATGCATGATTCAGTTCCTTACTCAAAAAAAAAAAAAAAACTTGGAAGCCTAAAGACACAGAGGGAGTGAGTATCACCCAAAGACTCACACGGATATATAATTTTGCTGACAACGTTGAGCAAACGGAAAAGTTAAAAAGAGAAGAAGAAGAGGAAAAGCAACCCACTTTATTCCAACTTTAGCCTTTTTCAGCTGTTTAAGGTAAAAGGTAAGGGCAACCTTCGGCTTTGAAATAGAGATGCCCATATTCTGGAAAATGAACCGTGACATCGAAATTAATGGCTAATATGAGATACTGGCTGTCGATGAGACCGAACTAGAGATCGAGGTTTCTTTTTAATGGCACGAAAAACTCTTTTGTGAAGGGAAAGTAGCGAGTTCGATTTCATTTTTAGTCTTTAATCATTAGTGTCTCCTTTAAATAATTAAAAAAATATACATGAAGAGTTAAGGAGTTGCCGTTATTCAAGTTTAACATGGTGCAGCTTTTTCCATCCGTTTTTGAAGCGGCGTAAAATTCCTTAAACCTCAATGGAGACACATCGTCCCTTAAGTAAAAGATGTGGGTTTTAGGCATTGTGTCACGTGCAACTAGGTTAAAAGCAGGTTCATTTTGTGAATATACTTCTCCAGTCTTAAATATAAAACCACAAACAATAAAAGTCTTATATTTAGGATTAGAGGAGTATATTTCTTGTGCACTCAAATCCTTTTTGGAGTGTAGTATATATGTTCATATATTAAGCGAAATTTTAGATGACTCACAATATTAATCATTTATATTTCCATGCATATATTGGTATGGCGGTAAAAGGCCTCTCCACTTCCATTTTAACAATAAGAATAGAATATAAATAAGAGAGAATTACAATCAAGTTTTATAAAAGGAAAAAAATTATAAAACAAGTTATAGAGGTTGTCATTTTTCACTATAAAATTTGTTATTACAGGCTGTTCAGGTTGTTATTAGGACCTTCTGGTAATTATTTCTCTTCTGTCATCTGTGGGACTTGATTGCAATTCTTTCTATAAACAATGCAGATTTTGTGTTTTATAAAATTATCAATAAAATATTAAATTTTTAAAAATAAAATTAAACTACTAAACTTTAGGTATCATAATTTAAAATAATAATAAAAATTATTTTATAAAATATGAAATCTAAATCATTTAAATTTTAATAGGGAGAATTACAAATTTACAAGGAAAAAATAATTACTAAAAGACAACCTAAATAATTTGTAATGATAAATTTTAAAATAGAAAATGACAACTTCTACCATTTATTTTATTATTATTTTTTTAAAATCTCATTGTAATCCTTTCATTTTAATATCGTTAAAATGATAAATAGATAAAAATTGGAGAGATGTAAAAAGGAAGAGAAAATTTCAGAAAAGCCCTTGGAATATAGGAAATTCCAAATTGAGTCCTCGAATTTTGTAAATAACAGAAAGGTCACTGAACCAATCTGTCATTTGTGAAATTAAGGCGAATTGACAATTTTGTTCTTAGCTAAACAAAAGTGAGTAGTTATTCTCTAAACAAATCTAGTTAACGCTTACACTATTCTAGTGATTACATGATTAGTTGTAGTTAATAATAAAGTACCTGACTATGAAAAAGTGAGTAGTTATTCTTTACACGAATCTAGGTAATGGTTACATTGTCCTAGTGATTACAAAATTACTTGTACTTAATAACAAGACACCTAATTATGAAAAAATGAGTAGTTATTCGCTACACGAATCTAGGTAACGCCTAAACCTTTATAGTGATTCCTTAAATAATTGTAGTGAATGAATACAAATGAGGATAAAGTTGTTAATTCCCCTTGATTTTACAAATTTCAGATTAGGTCACTGATCTTTTCTGTTATTTAAGAAATTTCAGGACCTAATCTGAAATTTCTTATATTCTAAGTATTGTTTTTGGGATTTTTTCTAAAAAAAACAGAAAGAACTGTTTCCCTCGCGGGTCATCCCAATTCCCGAACATATTGTGGGGTTTCCTTTGGCTTCGCGCATGAAACGCCGGCAACTAGATTCTTGCGCGTGGGTCACGCTTCGCAACCGAAGTCTGAATCTTGAATTCTAAGGAAGCGGCGATGGGACGGCTTGTCGTTTTGTGCTCATTTCTTGTCAGCCCCACCTCCTCTTTTACTCCCGCCAAATTGTTGTGGGAATTCTCTACTTCCCACCTCCCCTCAAATGGTCCTGGCTTCCAGTAGTTGATGACTCCATGTTAATAATTTAAATAAATAAATAAATAAAAAGTTTGGGATTGATAATTCTGGTGTCTGGAACCGGAGGCAATGGACGCTCATGGGGGACCCTGAGCACTCTTCCAATTAAGGTTGTTTTGGGCCTCGGCTTTCGGCCCTCCACCACCGTCTGATCCATCCACCCCATATGGGAAGCTAACCTTAGCCATCAAAACCCGCGTGAGTGTCCTTCGTACACCCGACCCTCCCTCACTTATTAAAATTCTCCCCTCACTATTACCCCAAAAAAAACAAACAAACAAGCAAAAGGTTCTCTCCTCACTAATTTGGGGTTATATAAATCTCCTAATTAATGATATTTTTAGAAATAGATCGAAGATAATCCTTTTTTATACTTCTTTTTTTATTAAACCGAAATTTTTTGTATAAAAAAATATTTCAACTGTGCCGTGCGAAAGGTGATGTAAGCAGGGAGAGTTGACTTCCCTAGAAAATACTAGAACCACATAGAAAACTGAAACAGTTAGTAATCACTAAAATCCCAGCAAAAAAAAAGGGTGATGGGGAGTGGGATATTAACTCCCCATGCAAGTATACGCCTCAACCCATTTTTTAAAATTAAAGAGGTAGATATTAATAACATGATACTCCTTCAGTTTTTAATATAAAAACTATTTAACTAATTTGATTAGATTAAGAAAATTAGATAAGTTAGTTAATCATAAGAAATATGATATGTTTTTTTAAAATATTACAATTATTTTTCTTAATAATGTCATTTTTTTTACTTGATTATGATTGGAGAAATATTCATAAGAATAATTTTAAAAAAACTAATAAATATGAAAGTACGTCTCAACTTAACTATTAGGTCAAGATTAAATCCATAACTTTTTTTTTATATTTGATGAAGCTAGATTATAAAACTATTAGCATGTTAATGACGCTTTAAAGTTTGAATGGACACCAAACCCTATGAGAAGAACACGAGTTACAAACACCAAACCACATACTATTCACCATCATAAAAAGCTTAGGTAACCTAATTTGGTAGGCATATGACTAGTCTCCAACCACACCCTGTTAATATTTAGGGTTCACTGAGTTATTATTTACTTATTTATTAGTTTTCTGAGAATGAGAATTAATCTTACGATATACCGAGAGCCAGTGAAAACTCTAATCTTATCCCTATTCATTTTTAAGAATTCTTTAACTAGTGACACCTCTTATCATTGCTATGCCCTATTTTCAGTAACAACTCTTATAGCTAACTGTGCTTTGTAATTTCAATTATTCAATTCTCAGAATGTCGAATGCTATAAGCAGATAGGTATTTAGATAGTTTTTTCATATATATAAATATAATATCTGATGAATGGATTGTTTTAATTTCGCTCTATCCCCGGTCAAAAAATTTCGCCTGGATGGCTGGATCCCTTTGCTTTCAAACTTTACCCAAAAAATGGTAAAGCCTCTCCGTCTCTCCCGAGCCAGGTGGAAAAAAAGTACAGCAAGTCACATTCTATCACGTAAGTACTGGTTCCACTTGTAGAAGAAAGTTTCCTTTTTCTTTTACATTTCGACCTCAGCATGAAAATTGACTTGTCTCGCTGCTCATGGAGCCAGCCATATTATTGTTTCCTGTCCTAATTATAAGGCTTTGTTTATAAACTACAAACTAGTTTGGACCAAATCCTCAGCTTACAGCATAACAATCTGAAAGCCCACTACTAATTTACAACTATGGGCCCGGCCCAATGTTTTGCAGGACGAGAGGACATATTAGATCTTACAAAACTCTATGGGCCCAGTTAAATATTTCCATCTGGGCCCATTTTCTCGCTTGCCTTGAATATCTATGCCGTGATGAACAAAAATGAAGAAGAGGATCATTCTATTAGTTTGCCAACAGGAGTAGTCAGATCGTGAGTTTGAATCCCATCACACGTGTGAGAATTTTATTAATGGACGATCTATAAATATCTCTTTAAATACTCTCTGAATTTGGAGATATGTCCGAACTTTGGTGAATTTTTAGAACCCAACTTACTTAAACTTGTCTTTTACCAAAAGAAAGTCCTGTTACTTTAATTAACTGGGGTTGGGTCTAACAGAAAGATTAATCCTCTACAACTTGGTGAATTAATGTTTGAATTCTCACCGAAATAGATACTTATATTACCCAATACTTGTGCCTAGCTAAAAAAAAAAAATCCTATTAGTTTATTATTCCTATAATTCTATTTATAAGATACTTTTGAGATAACACAAAAATAAAGATACTTCTAACATATTTTATGGGAGTCAAGAAGAATTTTAAATCTCATTACGTCTATCTTAAAATTTAATTGATTTTTTAATTTTTTCCTATTTAATATATATATTAAGAAGAACAGTTTTATAGAATAAATTAAGGATAAAATCACTCTTCCTATCCTATAAACAAGACAGCAGGAATATAAGAACCTTATGAGAACTTTGTTAGAATGTGAACAAGAACTCTTCTTGTTGTGGTCATGGCGTGGGTAAGCTTTGATTATATTTCGGACAAAAAAAGAAGAACCTGATTTGTACACGTGCACCTACAGAGAAACGACATATGCCTCGCGTGATCAACAGTGGATAGTGGATAAACTGATAATAAGAGTTTAAATCTCGAAAACATATTTGGGGAAAACAAGTAAAATGGTTGTGGTGGATATGCCTTGTGAAATAGAACAGTCGCTTCCGACGTATAACCACCACTCATTTCCATCAACCAAACCAAAAGCGCACCCCAATTCCCTCTCGCGTTCCTCACAAATGCATAGGAAACTCAATGATCTTCCTCACATTCCTCTGTCTTCTTCTCCACCACCTACCACTCTCTCCATGGCGCACCAGACTCAATAATCCCCACTCCCACGCAACCCTCTCACCTTTTCATTCCTCAAGCCATGAATCCCTCTGCTCGCTTCTCTTCTATCAAACACACCGCTTCTTCTCCAGACAGATTCCTTCTGCGGAATTCTTACTTGTATCTTCCCAGAAACAATTCTCCCCCTTTCCATCTCAAGCCAAATTATGAATTATCACCCCCAGAAAAGTCTTCTTTTGCTGTTCTCAGAACACGGAGCTCGAAACTCACACGCCCATTTGCTTCTTTATCGTCTTTCGCGGATGCCGAAGGCGAAGAACAGCACCGAGGGCATCAGCAGCCAGGCAATACTAGTGAGGAAGAAAATGAGTCGCCTGGAATGGCCCAAGCATTTCACATATCATCGGCCACTGCTTCTGCGATTTCAATATGCTTAGTGTTCGCTGCTCTCACTTTTCCTTTCTTGATGAGGCCTTTGGGACAGGGCTTGGCCTTGAAGACTAAGCTTTTATCATACGCGACGCTTCTGCTTGGGTTTTACATGGCTTGGAATATTGGGGCGAATGATGTGGCGAATGCGATGGGGACTTCGGTGGGGTCCGGGGCGTTGAGTCTCCGGCAGGCGGTGGTGACGGCGGCGGTGCTGGAGTTTTCAGGGGCATTTTTGATGGGGACACACGTGTCCAGCACAATGCAGAAGGGCATTCTGGTGGCTAATGTGTTTCAGGGGAAGGATACTCTGCTCTTTGCAGGATTGCTCTCTTCGCTTGCTGCTGCTGGTACTTGGCTACAGGTAATTATTTCGCTTCCTCACTTGCTTTGATTTGTTCCGTTTTAATCAGTTTAGTTGTTGAACGATACATACGATCAAATTCAAATCAATTAAATTATTTTCACACATATATCAATTTGTTGTTATCTAACTTTCTTCATCAGATGCTTGGCAGCAATTAAGGACGGTGTTCTGAGTTTTGATTTGGTGATTAAAACTGAGACATGTCACCTCATAACATTAATAAGAAATGAATATAACTTGCCATAGCATTAAATTAATGCCTTTTAAAAATTTAAGCTTGTCTTATAATCACATCCCGCTCTTGACACATGAGCTAATCCGGGATGGAAAGGACTAGATTGACAACATACTCTTCTGGTCCTATTCCAACATGTTTTACATAGACCAATGAAAACTTTCATTTTCATTAACTCTCATTTAAAATTCAATAATTTTTTAACTTTATTCTTATTTAATATATATTATATTCCATCTAAACAAAGTCAACATAGTGATAAATGAAGGGTAAAATTGTACATCTATACAAAAAATTTCTCTCAGTGCCTTATAAATAGGACCAAAAAATATCTCTTCTCTCTGTTTTATAAATAAGACCAAAGGAGTACATATTAAATTAGCAATCTACTTTTTTTTTTTTTTTTGGGGTGGCGAGTGGTGGGGAGAGAGAGAAATTGATTATTTGTATATTGTTATTTTCAAACTTATTTATTACTCCCTTATGTTGAGCTAAATAATTCATTCACAGAGATTAAGAAAATTGGTTAGGTTAATTATTTGTTAAAAATAAGTTGGTTTTCTTAAAGTATTTTTTTTAATCATTTAAATCACTCCCTTGAATTTAGAAATTTGGGAGATAAATGGATTAAAGTTAGGATCAAAACAAACCATTCCGCTACTAATAAGGATTGAGTTTAACAGAAGAGTCTAGTCCTTTACAATGTAACTAACCAAGTTTGAATTCTTGAGAAATGTCTACATTTATTATCTAACAGTGTTTCGAATAGAATTACTTTTAATAAAAGAATACATGTACATAGCCCAAAAAAAAAAACCTACTAATTAATTTTCACATCTAGGATTGGAGGAGTGTGTTCTTCAGTTCTTGTCAAAGGTGAGAATTGAGAAGAGGTGGAAGTGGAAGGAAACATAAATTTGATATGTAAGATATAATGCAAGTAAATCTCCTGTAGAATATTAAATTTGTTTTTGTCGCTCTAATCTCTTACTTGATTGATGTGCATCTCTATTAGAAGACACTGGGAAACTAATAACAAGAGTTCTTACGAGATCGGTAATCAATGCAAGCATAGAAAGAGAGTTTAGCATTTATGCACAAAATTCTTTGGGATCATTTCTTTTTCGGGTTTTGGGCATTTCATCTTGTAAGTAAAAATTCCAAAGAATGTTGCGCTTTCTCCCTTTTTCTCCCCATCTAAACTAAGGGTAAGCATTCTTCCGTGATATCTCACAGGCCTTTCTTCCTCCCTTTGTTTATGCGTCTCTATAAATTGAATATAGCATCCAGATACTAAAATTAATGAACATATCTTGAATTGTCTTCAGAATAACTCAATTTTTTCTTATGTTAAGGGAATGTTGCCTTAGGTGTAATTTTCCTCCACGTTGGATTTCTGGTAAAATTTTCCTAAGAGAGTCCATTTGCTGTGCTTAGTCATATGAAATGTTAAATGTTATAATTTTTTTTCCAACAAGAATCTAACTAATGACACCTATCTTGAAACTTCATCCAGGAAAAAGAGCTTCATGGGACTGATATGGAAGCAACCAATAAGGACTTAGATATCAGTCGTATATTTACTAGATAGTATTATATTTGTGGGCGCAGGTTGCATCATACTATGGATGGCCAGTGTCTACTACACACTGTATAGTGGGAGCAATGGTCGGATTCGGTCTGGCCTACGGCGGAGGTGGAGCCGTTTTCTGGGGTTCACTGGCAAGAGTCATTTCTTCATGGGTGATCTCGCCCTTAATGGGAGCAGCTATGTCATTTCTTGTGTACAAATGCATTCGTAGGGTATGTATGTTCCTTCTTCTCTAGTACTTCATTTCTCTGCATTAACTATCTATATCTGATTCAAACCTAGTTTGGGTTAGTTAACTATCTACTTTTGAAGAACACAGTCTGATCTTTTTTATCGTCCAGTTTGTGTACAGTGCGCCAAATCCAGGACAGGCAGCGGCTGCAGCAGCGCCGATTGCCGTATTTCTTGGTGTCACCGGCATTTCTTTTGCCGCCTTCCCTCTCAGCAAGGTCTTCGTTGTGGCTTTAGCCCAGGCATTAGGCTGCGGAACTTGTGGTGCTATTCTTGTCTACAGAATAATAAGAAAACAGCTTGGCCATCTTCTTATCAAGCCTACTTCTCCTCCTCCTCCTCCACAGCCTGATCCAAAGGAGGACACTGCCCACAAAAACATAGGCTTCCTCTCTGATATTGCAGGTCCCAAGGGCACTCAGCTTGAAATAGTTTATGGAGTCTTTGGCTACATGCAGGTCCTCTCTGCATGCTTCATGTCATTTGCTCATGGTGGAAATGATGTGTCCAATGCCATAGGCCCTTTGGCTGGCGCCTTAGCCATACTTCACGGCGGAGCCACAGGAGCTGAGATTGTGATTCCGACCGATATCCTTGTGTGGGGAGGATTCGGTATTGTTGCCGGGCTCACCATGTGGGGTTATAGGGTCATAGCTACAATTGGGAAGAAAATAACAGAGCTCACACCAACAAGAGGATTTGCTGCTGAATTTGCTGCAGCATCAGTGGTTCTTTCTGCTTCAAAGCTGGGGCTCCCCATTTCTGCAACACACACTCTTGTAGGTGCAGTCATGGGGGTTGGATTTGCAAGAGGACTTAACAGTGTGAGAGCAGAAACTGTGAGGGAGATTGTGGCTTCTTGGGCAGTCACTATTCCCGTTGGTGCAGTTCTGTCTGTGTTCTACACTTGGATCTTGACCAAGGTTTTGTCTTATGTTTTGTGAACAACTCAGGCACGTTGTCGTTTGCCCGTGGATTCTTTTGGCGGAGATCAAAAGACGACACGAGGATGGTTCTTGTTGAAGCATAGGGTATTCTATTCCTAGTCGAGGAGGCTTTTCAGAGAGTCTTGTCTCCTCAACCGGTGAAACTTTTATGTCCAGATCATCATGTAAAACCCTAAACCTCGTGCTAGAGTGTTATGATTTTCCCTCTTTTCTATGGTTAAAATCTCACATGTTTAAACACGAATGGAATAGGGGATTGAAGGGACAGACATTCTTAACGGAAATGAGGTTTGATTGAATCATGTCCATCAACTCTACGTAATGTTAAAAAATGACATGAAATATCATATATTACGCCATTTCAGAAAAGCATGCGAAACATGTCAATTCTCATTAAATAGTGCAATTCTCCACGGGTAAACAAGTAAAGCAATTCCCATAATGAAGAAAGCCATGAATGAACAACACAGATCGCCAGAGGAAAAGGGAACTGTATGTACTAGTTGGAGGCCTGTATCAGAAGAGAAAATCAAACTGAGAGCTCTTCCACGGGAGAGAGGCTAGGTTGCCATCCCAAACTACGAAAAGATTTCGCCTTTGAAAGAGGAGGCACAAAAGGCTTCTTCTTCCCTCTTAACCCTTTTCGCTTTGGATATGTCGAGTACTTCCCTTCAGACTGGTACGAGTCCTTTGCAGAACAAAACGCCTCCTCTGTACTTGAAGACACACTCTTCTTCGCTTCAAAAATCTCTTGCCTTACTCCATCGTACACTTGGATTTTGCCGTTCCCTATGCCATCGTCATCTTTAGCGACCTTTGTGTCCAGTACGGTTCTGTCTTCCTCTGGATATTTTTGCTTGAGCTTTTCCACGGCTTTGCATGAGATTATAATATACTTGTGGCCGGGCATTAGAATCTCTTCTGGCCATAGTACTGACTGGTGTGGATCTTTGAAGACTTCTGGTAAGGCAACGCACATCCCAGGATATTTCTCCATCAACTTTGATACAGGAACTGCATGCTGATACAACTCCTTTTGGCCTCCTTCATGAACTATCTCCACAAAAATACTCTCAGATTGCAAGCTCGAGTCGTGTGGCTGAAGATTTGCTTTAGCAACACCACCTTTAAGTTGCTTCTTTCTTCTGGATTTTTTATCAGAGTGCTGCACCAGGCCTAACGAGTGAACCACACGCTTCAGCATGGCCGGAAGGTTGAGGTTGAGCAGCTATCCAAGAGTTTCATTATCGTCTTCCTACAGAAAAATTGTAAGGTAGAGTATAAACACGAGGAAAGCTAGTAGTATTTAACCATTGGCTCCAACATTGATGCTTCTTGTTCACCAAGGCCGGCTGCTACTAATTTAATATTGTTTCAATGATGAAATCGATGCTGATAAACCTGGTAAGAAGCATAGCAAGAGAGGCAAGGTTTCATTTTTCCTTTTTGGATGTTGTTAGGGTAGGAACAAAGTTCACCTAGAAAGGATAACAAAGCATAATGTCTTCCTCAAAATTAACTTCATTGTTTTTGTTGGGATCATACTCCTATGAACCTAGCATGTCCTCATGCTAGCTTCTTCAGCCTCCAGCTGGTAAATATACGTGTGTAAATGCAAATTCTTAGCTCTTTATAACCTACTGTGCATTTTTTCAAGAGAGAGCCAGAACCCTAAAACTAGCAACGGACATGTACTCTGCAAACACATCTTTCTGAATGGGGAGAAAGATGCGCTGAGAATGCTGGCCATGTGGTCACTGAGAAACTTGTCATTAAAATCTTTATGGTTACTTGGTGAGTTCAGCTGTGGAGAAAGATTAAACCTCGTACTCATCACAACTGTACAGAAAGCTAGTTGAAACTGTAAATTTGATGTTTTTCAGCGAATAACAGAAGGAAGCGAAATTTGCTGGATATTAATACGACTAGAAAATGGAACTCTAAAGTCGATGTTCTTCCCTGTCATGCTTTAATGAAGCTAGTCCAGTGGACATGAATACCATTTTTAAAAATGAAAATTAGTTATAAATGGAATTCAATTTTGTATCCTTTAATATTAAACACGATTCGAACTAGCACTGGCCGAAAATTCTTGCTTGGAAGTCCATATCGATATACGTAGATAACAAGTAACAGGCTTCTATTCATGAAACCTGAGTTTCTTGCTCAGAAATGCAAGATGCTCAAAACAAAAGTAAAATCTAAGCAACTAACTTGCAACAGTTCCATAGTTCTCAAACTGCCAAAATCTTTGGTTTGATTTGTTCACATGAACCAATATTAACCGAGACAACAATCATACAATTACGGGAAATTATAAAATCTTAAATTCTTAGTTCGATTTGACTGTCTCTGCGTCAAAACTGGTCACGTAAATCAATGGAAGCTTGCTTTGCATGGTTTACTGAAATTTTATACATGAAAGTATACGTGTTTAAAGCCATCGATGGAAGCTGATGTTATATAATATTACCTCTAGGTCTTAATATAAGATCTAATTTGTAATTAAAATTGAATTGCATACTAAATCTTATAATGAGAATGGGAGGTATTATTTAAATAAAGTATATGAAGACTCATTAATGACAATCTCACGTGTGACTTTGTGAAAAAAAACTGATCATACCGTATTTTCTTCGTATTATCTAACTTAAAAGGAAACGTTTTTTTGCCATTCGACCTCTTGCCTTGATGGCGGGAGACTTACAGTGTCTCTACCCAATACATGAGTTCAAAACGGCAAAGGTGAAAACGTGTTTTCTTTTGGTATTAAACCAAATTATTCTTATAGAAAGGAGCTCGCATGCCTTTACGTATTTGTGAAATGTGATGTATTTTTGAGAATGAGGAAAGGTGCATCCAAGAAATTTTGCTTTCTAATAATGGTTTATTCAGACCATATTTTAACAATTTAAATTCATGTATTTTTTAAGTAAAATTTCAATAATTTTTTTTTTTTGGATAAAATGTCAAATTTGAACCATGGGATTTTTTATCCAATGGTAGTGAAGGAAAAAGGAGGGAAGGATCCTCTTTCATCACAACGCCTATTATCAATATGCAGAGGAGAAATAAAAGTCCAAATAGACAGAAGACATTATTAAGCAACAAATTGCACACAGCTAGAGATATAATGTGACCTCACTGTATGGACTTACAGTTGCATTACATGAACTTTGTTTTTGTCAGAACTCAAATGTAACTTGCGCAATTGTCCACAGTTGGTAACAGGAAATTATGTTAGTTGACACCACTCAAGAATGTAGTTAACTATGCAGTATTTAGCTTCTTCAACCTTGGCTTTCGTATGCTTTTTCATAGGGCTTTATAAGAATTTGAAATTGTGACCTTTCTGAAGCTTCCTTGAAATCCCATCCAAATCAGCTGCAGCAAGACATTCTTTCTTCTTTGCTAAAACTTGGTGCTTTCCTCTTGTGAAATACTATGAATATACGGGTCAGCAGTTGGAAAAAAAAAAGTTGCTTCGCCTACTCCCCAACTTCAAATGAGAAGGAAGCCAGAGAGAAAAGCGAAGAAAAATCCGCTTTGTATAATTGTATCACTCGAAAAATCATGACATTGCGTCAGCCTGTTTTCTAGTCAATCGTGCATACAAACCATCCTTTAAGAGAAGTTCCCTGTGATTCCCAATCTGCGTGGAGATGAACCATTGACCGTTAGAATTCTTTTATATATGTATTTCATTGACAGAATTCGGATTTGAATAAAATGAAATATATAGAAGAATAGCAAATTATAGCCTTTCGCACAAACAAGGAGAGCAGCCTATTGTGAATTTTATCCCCTACAAGCATCATTATCCTGTGCTATATCATATCCATCATGATGGAGCAGAACAATTTTGGGAGTCAAATTCAAAACGAGACAACCAATGGACACATCAAGGATAATAAACCCGAATAGAACATTAAAGAAAAATTGTAGGTTAAGACATTGATATTGAACCAACAATTCACCGACCTCAACAACCCGACCACCATCCATGACCACAATCCTGTCAGCCGCTTTTATGGTAGAAAGCCTGAAGAAGCAGCTAATGAACTTTAAATTCAGACCAATACTATGATATAATGGGTGCTGACAATCGAAGATAAAACCTGTGTGCAATGACTATGACGCTTCTCATCGTGGAGTCACTTCTGATGGATCGAAAGACACCCTAACATAAAATGGCAACTCAAGAATCATTATCTTTTTCTGTATTCTCTCTCCCCATATTTAGGGTGCCACAATCAACTTGCCTAGAGAAGAAGGTTCTAGAAGCAGACCTGGACATTATATTCACTCTCAGCATCCAGTGCACTGGTAGCTTCATCAAGGAGCAAAATAGTTGGGTCCCTAACAATGGCCCTTGCAATGGCGATTCGCTGCCTTTGTCCCCCACTTAATAGATCATCATCAACAAGTGTCACATAACCATTAGGAAGTGCTGAGATGAAGTCATGAGCATAGGCTTGTTTGGCAGCCCATTCAACATCCTCTTGTTTTATATCATGGGTGCATCCATATCTGATGTTTGAACCAATATCCATGCGAAAGAGCTTTGGCTCCTGCACAAACAATTTTCATGAGTTAGAAAAGGACCATACATAATTATATTCACTAAATTTTCTGCCACGTTGCCAGTCAAGAACCTGTCCCACATATCCAATTCTCTCTCTCCACCACGTGATGTCCAGTTCTTTAAGAGGGTAGCCATCAATCAAAATCTGCAATTGAAGAGTATTGAAAGAACAATAATAGGCAACTATTCTCATAATACTACTCTACATAATGATTGGCTGTAGCTACGGTTACCTAATTTATTATATAGAAACTCAGCCAAATTTTATAACTGCACCAACAAAATGGCCCCTACAGCTTCAGAAGTACTTCACGAAACTGAATGTTTAGAAGTATAACCAACACTTGTTTTCTTTTTGGATTTGCTAATTTGATATGATCACCAAAGAGAAACCTATTAACTCGCTGATAAGGGAAAATCGTTGAGTGTTCATGGTAGGATACAGAAAAAAACATATCCCCTTTTTTGCGTTTGTTCTCAAGATAGCAGGATATGCTATTTGACTCAAAGATCAGTAAAAACCTTTCTTCCTTTAAACTTCTTATTATGAAAGAAAATTGATTCCAGTTATGTCAACTGAAATGCATATTTTTAAGGGTAACCGGGGAAAAAAAAAGAGAAATGTATATTTTAAGAAAGAATGACAATTTTGCCATAGTAGAAAAAATATTTTCTAGTCACTGCTTAATGACTTAAATCTCATAACTACTTTTTTTCCCTTTCCATTATTCCTTTCTATCTTAAACTCCAACTTATGACTTCATGCACATCTTATAAGGATCAAACCATCCCTTCCCAATCTTCCTTTCATGAAATCATAAGGCTCAAAAATACTACCTGACCATTTGTTGGCTCATATAGCCGGAGCAAAAGGTTTACGAGTGTGCTTTTTCCACTACCACTAAGGCCAACCTATGCAAAAACCAACAAGAGACAGAAAGTTAATCTTTTAGCCATTCTGCAGACAAGAAAGGGATTAAGTCTATTAGAAACAGTCTCTTACAATTGCAACCACCTCACCAGGATGAACAGAAAAGCTTACATCTTGCACTACAGGCACCTGTTACACCATCAACTCATTAGTTGAGCCTTTGGTAGTTACAACAGTTACTTTAACCCCATGCGCATCCTAATCAAATTGAACTAACCTCATCAAAAGCACCAAGTGAGGGGACACATGGTGCCGAATTCAGAAGTCAAGACTACAATAAAAATATCCATAGCAGCATGCACCAGCTTAAGAAATTGCATTTTTATCTACAATATTTGTGACAATGCATATGCAAGCAAGAACTAGATATCAACACTAAGCTGTCAAAAACAACACCCCACCCACAAAATAAAATCTTTGTAAGCAAAAGTATTCTCCACTTATAATACACAAACATGCTCACAAGACTGGAAAGACCAAAAAGGTACTCTACTGCTTCATTGCTATCTGTAGAACAACTTATACCAAACTAGCAAAAAAGAGAATTCTGTCTGCACCCATTTTCTTGTTTAGAAAGGAACAAATGTCAGCGTCGAAGTTTTACTTTCTATTATAGCATTGTTATTCCTCACTGAAGTAAAGATAGATAAGAGTATTAAATATACAACTTTCTAATCTAGGAGCCAGAAGAAGATACTGAAAATAGGAGACATACTGTTGGCCTTGAAGGGTAGTGAAAAGCAACATCTATAAACTCAATAAGCCCCGCTAATCTCTGTAACTTTACCCCTGTAACAAGGTTACATACTAACTTCAATTTAACAAAACTCAAAACATTGATGAAAAATTAGGCAGCAATGCTTCACATTTCCCATGATATTTTCTTTCTTTCTATTTAATTTCTTGGTAGAGATGTGGAAAATTGATGCAGGTACGGTATTTGCATGTTAAAGAAGCATTAAAGACCCATTAATTTATGACACCATAATAATAACTTGTGGATTCTAAACATGACTATACCAATTGCATATATTGGTAAAAGTCAAACTCAGTCTTATGAACTTACGGAACCATTAAGTGCTCGGCTAGAATGCTCTAACAATCCAGTCTGTCAGCACAATATGAGCTAATCTGCATGGTAATATGTTGCCAGGAGTTTTCCTCTCTTTTTTTTCTAGATGAATACAGTAATACTTTGTTCACCAGAAAAGCTTGATGATAAATCCTTTTTATTGCTTACTGCTATTATCCTTCCTTTTTTTTTTGGATGAATATCGCCACTGTTGTATTAGGTACATGTACCTTGATTATTAAAACATTGATAACAGTAGTAAACAGTGTGCGGTGTGCCTGTTACCAGCAACCACAATTCAGCTGATGCACTAACGCATTGTATCTCCTTTTGTAAAATGTAACATTGGTCATATGTTCAACCATATGATCCACAAGTGGAATTAAAATTGAATATTGAGAAAAATGCAATCTCCTTGAAGAGGACGAACAGAAAGGACAAACATGATGTATATAATCATCATCACATAAATTAGCTCAACATAGCTTATAATAACACTTGCCCCTTGCTATGAATTGGCTGCTTGGTAAGAGATCCATCAATTGAAATACTTTTTCACTGGCTCCAACTGATTGCATCAAAGAGGATATATTGTCTCCAACCCACCAGGTTGAATAAATGAGCCATTCACTGTATAGTATAAACTTGGTGAGTTTCTCTGCTGTAATATGACCTGCTAGAATGGACATCCCTCCAAACAGAACGGCGATAGCCTAAAAGATCAAATGTTTCAATAAAACAAAAGTCAAGGACAGAAGTTGAAACTGGAGTTCAATAATTTCTTCTTTTTTATTTTAATTTAAAAGAAAACAAAATTGTATTATAAAGAGGAGAAGAAACAATTCACCAAAAAAAGGAGGAAAAAAAAGGTTTGAGAAATTTCAAAATCAGAAATTAAATTATTTAATTGATCCCAAAAGGAATTTAACATAAGCGAAAAAAGAATCTTTATTTTAACAACACATTGCCATACCTGAGTTGAATGATATAGTGTGTTGAAACTTAAATTCCAAAATCCATAAGCAGCACTTTGTCGCAAACTTATATCAGCTAACTTCCCCAGCCACCATTTGTATCTATCAATGGGTAAGAAAAAAAATACATGTCAAAACTGCTCAAATAAAAGAATGCGTACCCTCATATGTTATAGTTCTTAAAACTGTCACCTTCCAAGTTCTTCTCCTTCAGTTCCATAAACACGGACAGTCCTGATGAGAGAAAATGTTTCCTGCGCTACCTACAATTTAATATGAAAGGAAGGGCATTACAGCAGTATTCAGGAAACATAAACAAAGTGCAGTATAAGGCAGCTGATTCTACCTGATTTGCAGAGGCAGTAACTTCTTGGATCAACCTTGCAGCTTTTTTCTGATACCTATTGAGAAAGACAAAAACCAAATTAAATCTAGAGGAATAAAGATGAGTGAAGCAGAAAAGTCTGGGGATGGGTGGTTGTTAGAATCCTTTTAACCCCACCCTTCTCCCCCTTTTAGTGGAGAAGTAACTTGAACCATGGTAGCATCCAAAGCTCTGGGAAAAATAAAGTGATTTCTTCAGCATTTAAGATGGAAACCTCTTATAAGGTCGAATGCTATTTTATATTACTAGAAATATGAGTTAATTCGAATCAAGTGTATGAACTAATTAGGAACAAGACAATATTATTAACAAAGATGTTGATCATGAATGATGTGATGATATTTAGTATTGGGCAAGCTTCCCAAGGCAAAGCTCATTTCATTTACACTTGTTTACCGTAAGCCACAAGAAAGGTGATGTTGAGAATATAAAGAAGCAGTCTGAGAGGACAAATAATTTACCTTCCATAAATTAGCATAACTGCTGATAATATAGTGCATATACCCAGTGTACATAATCCAAGCGGCCAAGACAAAACCAGCAGGTAGATCAATGCACCTGCTCCCTAGCAAGGTGGGGGGACAAAAGTAAGGTCCCAAGGTCTGGGTTTGGGACAACTTTCAAATAATAAATATTTCATATGCAAAGCAACCTGAAGAACATTGCGCAATATCAAGTTAAGATCATTTCCAATAACACGTGACACTTGTTGACAATCTGCCCCAAGCCTGCTTGTCAAATCGCCAACCGTTTCAGAGTCATAAAACGATATATCCTACGATAAAGGCACTGCCAAATGAGTTAAATTATGCACCTCAACAGAATTAAACACAAGAAGACTAACAAGTTCATTATTAAGAGCAGTAGAACCTGAAGAAGTAGGGAAGAGTATAATGTTTCTCTCATTCTCTTAACCTGCATATATTTTTAAACTCCAGTGAGCAATGAAGTCATACAACATTGCATAAAACAGAATCAATTATCCAGTAAAATATACTGAAGAACTGATGACTCGGTAGCTGAAAGAACAGAGCTCAATTACAACAGTCTGAAGTTTCAGAGTTAGAGTTATTGAGTCATTAATATATTATGCTCCCCTGCATCATGGGAAAGAAGAAGCAACCAAAATATAAAAAATGACAGAGAAGCTCACCAAAATCATGTTAGCAATGCCAAAACAGCAACCTCGTATCCCACTGGAGCAAACAAGAAAAAAAAAACGGGTTTGTTAGATCATGCCGTCAGTATCTCAATGTTCCGCAATTTACAGTTGCTTCATCCCAGCTGTCTTCGGAATGTTAGATCATGCCACCTCCGCGGTTAATTTGGCAGACTCAAGGATAAGTAAAACCAACAATTAGTCACAAAAAACGCAGAGGGGAGTGATCATCCTATTTAGGTAAGTAAAACCAACAAAACCGTAACAATGTCTGTAGGTAGAAGGGAGATTTGACCATACAAGATTTTGACCTGCATATTCCGGAAGTTAAACACAGTAGAACCAAGAGACGCACATTCCGACGGAAGACTGTAATTTCCGCGCCCTGAGCGGAGAAGATGGATGCAGTTAAGAAATGTGGTATTGAAATCTCCGAAACCTGAAATGACATTGAACAAGGAGTTTAACATAACCAAAAAAAAAAAATTGTAGCAAATTGATCTTAGCGCCAAAAATAAGAAATGAGAAAGTAATATAAGCCTTAAATTAGGAAAAATAGGCAACACGTACCGCTGCAAGAATCAGAGTCGAGAACGCCGCGAAAATAACCCACCTATCCTGTGCTACAAGTTCCCACATTTTGGCAAGCGCGCGCCAAACAGTCACCGGGTTGGCGAGACCTTGAACATGGACTTCATCAGAGAAGTCCCACCAGCCTCCACCCGGCGAAATCGAGAGAATGACACCAAACCATCTTCTAAGCCTCTCCAGAAAGTCAACATTGTCTTCATCTTCCCCATGGTCTTCCCTCGAAGGGCCTAAATGATTCTGAAGGGAAACCTCATTTATGGACGATGATTTTGGAGGGCCTAGAAAAACTTTCCGGGAACTGAAAGGAGGGATGAATCGAAGAGATGGGATTCTAGAATTAGCAGCAAAATGGAAGCGATGCAGAGAAACTCTGATCAAAGGCTTAGTAGTGCGTTCTTGACGGATTGATGATGAAGACAGCAAGTGAGGTTGATAAGCGCCAAGAAGTAGGGCCATGGGCGATGCAATGTCGCAGCGCAGAAGATGGATGGAACGGGTTGGCGATGGAATGGGAGCTACGACTTTTTCGGCATTCCCGTTCTCGTCTCGTACGATCTTCCCAGAAGTTGGCAGCCTTCTTTTCCATTTTTTTTGTTTTTACTGGCACCTATCTTAATTAAATATAAAATTTATTTTATAATATAAATTACATTATAAAATAAGTTTTATATTTAAAACAGAAGAATATATAAAAAAAATCATTTTATACTTAAAATTCAGTTGTTAATTTGTTGGTGGAAAAATTCAATTGTTAATGTGTATAGAAATAGGATAATAAAATCTCTAAAATTTCATACACAATTGTCTATATTTTTCATTTCATCTCCTAATATTAACAGTTTTTTCTATAACTCATGAAGAGGTTGTCATCATTGAATTACATTAGACTGTGTGTAGAATTATATATCTTGGAAACGTCAAAAACAGTTGTGTATAGTTATACCAAAACATATTTTCTTGACATGAAACAAGTTGCAAAATTTTTGGCAAAAAAAAAATTGTTGTATAAATTTTTAATATAATACAGTAATTTTTAAAATAAATTATTACGATATGTTTTCTTTTTTTGTCTTGTTGAATTCATATTAATACAAATAATTTTAAAATATTCTAGTGTCTCATTTTAGATTTATATATTATCACATATTCACATTATAAATCAAAATATCAGTTTCCATAATACATAAAACAATTAAGATGTACATGAGAGAGTACAAACTTAAATAACTTTTCATCTCTTTTGTATTATTCTTTTAAATTTATGTGAAAATTATTTAAAAATTAAGAGTAATCTCTTCAAAAAAATAACATTAAATAACATGCAGTTCCAACTTTTTGTTGTTAGCCTGAACATAAAAGTGCCATAAGATTCCAATATTTCTTGAATTTGGAGCAAGCCATGCTTGTGGTGTGAGTATGGGAATCAAATCTAAGGGAAAAAGTTCGGACCAAAATTTTATTGTGCTTTACAATATTTCCTACACCAAGCAAAGAATGACAGTTTAATTTTACATTTTTATTTGATTGACAATAGTCACTGAGTGGAAATATTTTTAAGATGAAGAGAAATGAGAATTCAAACATGAATAAATGAATTCATTGTGTTTGTTGGGTAAAAAAAATCAATGTTTTTTAAATACAATGCCATGGATAAATAAATGAATTCAAAAGGTGTTAAAGTAATGGTTTAAAAATCAGTACCCTAATCATGAGAATTAGAGCTAACTCAGCATAATTAAAAAAGATGGTCTAGTGCACAAGGCTCACAACAAATTGGTCCGAGGAGAAATAGATATACGGGGTGTTTGGATATGCCCATAAATGCTTTTTAAAAGTTTTTTTTTTTTACAAATTGAAATAAACTCCTCTATATATTTATTTTATAAGCTGTAAAATCACTTCTAAAATTATAATTTTTTTTATCCAAACACTCCCATGCATGTCTTTACTCTTACAACTCGAGAGGCTATTTTCGGGATCTGAAAATGCATAAATTTTGCACCAAAAGCAGTTGGGCTAAATTTAATGGGCTGCAGGGCGCCTCCTATAGACCCTGCGAGTACTCAGGCCGATAAATTAATGGTAATAATAAGTCCATGATTCATAAAACAAAGAACATAACGATTCGTGGCAAAAAGTTTTAGCCAAACCTGGCAAAATAAGGCCAAGGTTAATAACTGGATTTTCAAGAAGTTCGTTCATACCTGTGGGCAAGAACGAACCTGTCTGAAGACAATTTGGATTGTTTTGGATGTTGAATGATTGATTGCATGAAATAATTCTTGAGAGAAATAAGCAAAATAGTGATTATGAAAATATGTGGATTTTATATAAGTATATCAGTTTGTTGTAATCGTTGGCAAACAAAAAAAAAAATCTGTTTGTAGTAATCACTTATATATATATGTAAATATAGATTCAAATTCTTTTTTTTAAATATAAGATTTAAGGTCCTTTAATAGTAAAATTAAGGGCTAAAACGTGAAATTTATATATTAAAAAAGGGTTATGGTGACTGGGCACCGACAAGTTTTTTGAATGCAAATTTACCCTAAAAGTTTAAAATCTTACCAATGTTACCCCACTATTATAAATATTAATAGTCAATGTTATTATTTTAATAGTCAATATTAATTTTTTTAATGATAGAAAACAATGTTGCCACGATTTTAAACTTTCATGAAAAATTTGTACTCAGAAAACTTCTAGGCATCCAATACTCTTTAGTGAAAATTTTCAAAACAAATTTGTATTTTAACCCTTAAAAAAATCATATTATTAGAAGAGTTACTCTTTATACTTGACAATGCTGAAAATCTCTCACCACGCATCCCATGCCTTGAACAGTTAGCACTGCTTCCCTACAGGAATGAGTTTCAGCATTAAGTGATGCATATCAGGATTCAGCAGCTCATCACCACTGTGCATTATTTAAATTTAATTTAGATGGTTCACATTAATTTTTTCACTTTTAATATTTTAAAAATATTTTAATGTGTATATATAGAATCTAAAATAAAAATAACTCTTTTTAAAATTTGATTATTTTATTTAAAAGTCATGGATTGAAATTCTAAATTTGAATTGTTGAGACTAAGGTATTTAAATGGTGCAAATCTCATTGATTTCTTGCATGGCAAGAGAGCTGTTGGATACATACGTAGCACATTTGGTTCCTAGGCATGAAAGCTCCAGCTCATGAGATTCAGAAAAACAAGAGCAGAACAACATAACACCAACCATCTGATCAGTACGGAAAGGAAACTGCAACATACGATTTGAATATGTTGCATGTTTCGTAAACACAACACAAAATCAAAGAACAAATCAATAAACAGAACAACATGAAACGATGAAAGAGCCTTCACAAAGGTATTCCCTTGAAGATGCTCCATGTTTCATGTTCTCCCTGTGTTTTCGTCCTTGTTCACCGTCAAATCCTTGGACCCTCCCCAACTCTTGATTCTATCGTTTGCCAGAGAAGCCTGCAGAAACAATTCATTCAACTTTAATTAACCCTCTTGCTCACTGTTCATGATTTTCTCTCAGTACTATTCATGCATGTGATGATATCTCACCTCTTTGTTCCAGTTGGTTCGATGAACCATCAAGAAAAGCACACAAGTCTGTAGTAAAGTCCCCGACATCATTCCATACCAGATTCCCTGCGAATCAACATTCCCAATAAAAGAACCATTAATTTACTCCACTGCACCTGTAACCCTATTCAAGATCAAACAAGACCACGTCGACAATATTATATATGTCGGCTCACCCTGACGCCCCAGTTAATCTTGTAACCCAGTAGGAGACCTACAGGAATACCAAAGAGGTAGTAACACGAAACGTTAACATAAGCAACGCAAGTCTGCCATCCTGCCCCGATGGCCACACCTGCACAAAACAAATCAAAGTTGTATATTTTGCACAGAGAGAGAGAGAGAGAAACTAATCAGACAAGAAGATTAAATATTGAGAATATTTTATGAACTACCTGAAAGAACTGGCTGGATGTTATTGATGACGATGCACAAGGCCAGCAATGGTGTGAGCTGTTTCACCAGATCTTGAACTCGCGTGTCGTTTGAAAATAGAGAAGGATAGTGATCTCGAGAGATGATCAAAACGAGGGCCAATAAGAGGCCTATCAAAGTGGAAGCGATCACAGCAACCACCAGTGAGAATTTGGCTGTTCTTGGATGAATTGCTCCCAGTTCATTTGACACTCTTACACTGCCCAACATTAGTTTAATTCAACAAGTTTATTACAGTTCCGTGTTCTTTCTGGGGAGATAAGTGATCAAATCAGATAATCAGGGAGATGGGGGAGAGGTAATCTACCTTATGGCCACGTTCATCCCGAAAGATACCATGACGACCCACCCCAATATGTTCGCGCTGCCAGCTCAAAATATATAAAAATCTCAGCATACAATTAATATGAATAGTATGGAAGAGATGGATATAATTTTTTAGACCTAATCACTTTCTTATTACAAACCACGAAGAGATACTATTTCGGTTATTGTAACAACCAACGTACGTACGTAGATACTTTCATTTTTAGCGTGGTTATAAGTTTAACCGACATAAAAAGATGATCTAATAACTATATTTTATGGTAATGATTTTGTCTTTCCTCATTAATTACTAGGTCTCATTACTAATGATGTGCTAGTTCGAGTAGTGGTTCACTACTAAATGATTTGGTAGCGGTTTCACACACGCAATTGATTAGCAATATAATGATGATAAACGCTCTGCTACAAATGCAGCCACTACAAAATGTGTTTTTAGTGATACATTTAATCCTACCTATCTTTGTCCAAGGAAACAGTGATGGCGAGTGTACGAATTTTTTATAATTTTTTCTGATGAAAATTCGTAAAGAGATATGGCCTATATCTTAATTAGTGGGATCTAGCAGTATGATGATTATTTAGGGGAGATTCAAATACGTGTAACGCACTAACGATGATAAACAAAATATAACATATGTCTACGAGGGGGAGCAGTTAATGATTAATTAGGAGAAATGACAAAAGAAAACAACAAGAAAAAAAAAAGGGAGCACGGTTGGGTGAAATATAAAATAATCCCAGAGTTAATCATAAAACTCAGGTGAAAAAAAGAGAGCTAATCATAAAACAAAGAATATTAGTCATGCACTTACCATATAGATAAGCCATCGACGGAGACTTCTGCATTCTCGAGATATCCAGCAAACAGTATCAGAGCCATAAAATACCATACTTCCAGGCTGCACTTTAACTCAACATAATCATCCCTCACAGCCACATGAAGATATATACATTAAAGGCAAAAATATACTTCCTCTCATCTTAAAAATAAGAGTTAGTAGAGAGATTGTTTTTACTCTAAACGTAAAATTTGAATTTATTTAGTCTCTTAAAATTACAAGTTTTTGTCAAGCTGTTAAGCTTTAGTTTGAATACCAAAAAAAAAAAAAAGGGAGAAAAGACAGGAGTAAAACTACCAAAGTATAATAATTTTTCTTTTATTAATTTCATGAAATCTTCCCTCGGTATTCTTTTATTTCTATTTCCCTTTTATTTTTTTCTCTATCCAAACCAAGCTTAAGGAGTTTTTCATTAAGGAACTAGCATGCAACGCAAATAATTAAAATGGAAGTCTTCGAAAAAAAAACACATTTTTTATATATAATATATTATTTTTAAAATGCAAATGCATTATTTCAAACGAAAAGTAATATATTATTTTTAACCAAAACAATAAAATAGAATCTCATTACCTATATATAGTTTATAGATTTATAGACCTATAGATTAGTACTACCTACGATTCTTAATATAAGACCTCGATTAACTTTTATTTTGATCCTAAATATAAGACTCCAATCCACTTTGTCTTTAATATTTATATTTTTTTTCAAGATAGTCCTTCTAACAATGATAATTCTAGCCAATATACTTGATTAGCAAGGATATTTTAGAAAAAATAATACATATTTATTACAAATAACTAACTTAACTTCTTTCTTAATCTTCTCAAATTAGTCAATTAACTCTTATAATTAGAACCGGAATTATTTAGTTATTTTTCCGATTAAATCTTATTTACTTTTTTGTCTGATACACAGGTGCAAAATTGTCTTTTTTGGTCATTAATTTAATTGACCAGCTCATGTAGAAAAAGTAAGGATATTAGAGACAAATTAAAGGAAATAATAATAATCGCACAATCATTTCGTTGTCTTATGTCAGTATTCTTCTATCCACACCAAATCTTTTTAAAAATTAGTTAATTGTTCATTAATTAATTAATGATCTTTATAAAACTGCGCAAAAATCTGCTAAATAAACTAAAGTACTAGAAGGAAAAGAACTGAAGAACGGGGTAAAAAGAAAATACTAAAAATGAAAGATTATTAAAGAAAAATCAGTGATATTATTTCATGTTTACCAAAGCATGACAGCAGAAGCCAGAGAGAGACGAATGAATCCCCAAAGATTCTGAAAAGCTTTCCATGAGAAGCCATTCCACGCTCGGCCACATCGCCCGCTTACTATATACGCAAACTGAGCCACCACGATGAACCACCACGACCCGTTCAGCACCGCCGCCGCACCCACCAACCCCCACCGGAGCTTTATCACCAGCAACCAGCTCAACACCGCGTGCACCACCAGAGCTACTGCCGATATCCCCGCAATCACCATCACCTTGCTCTGCGCCTGCAAGAACTTGGCAATAGGAAAGTTCAACGCGTAAGCAAAAAGCTGCGGAATCATCCAGACGGCGAATCGTCCCGCCGCTTCCGATATCTCCGTGGTTTGCCCTATCAGCTTCAGAATCGCCTCCGCGAAGATGTAAAGAGGGCTCAGAATCATCGCCGTGAAGAGCAATATCACCCACGATCTCTGCATGTAAACCCCTAACATGTCCTGATGTCCAGCTCCGTACGCTTGCCCACATAGCGTCTCCAACGCACTTCCCATCCCGAGCTGCAATTCAATTTCCGGTCACTTCACTTCGATCAACACAAAAAGAGCAATACGATATTGGGAAGCAACATAGTTTACCATGACGCCAAAGGAAAAGCCAGCGATCACGGAATTTTCAACAGATACGGCAGCGAGGTCGATGGTGCCGACATGACCGGCGAACACCTGAGTGATGGCTCCTAGGGAGTATTTGGAGACGGAGGAGAAAATGGCGGGGCCGGCGAGGTACCAGAGCTTCTTTGACTCTGTCAAGAACTGCGAGGAAAAGTCTTTAAGGCCGGTAAGAGGAGGGATGTCGTCGGTACCAGCGGAGAAAACCGCGGCAGCTGTGGATGTAGGATGAGAGTGAGGTTGGATTTGATTGGGTTCACCGGTGAGAAGTGGCTGTCTGGGATTACCATTGTCCATGAAGGCGGGCGGAGGGAGGAGGAGGTGGGGAGAGAGAGAAAGGTGAGCGATATAGGGACGATGATGAATGGATGGTTGTCTGATTGGTGCACGTGTTGGGGTGAGGGAGGGGATTTTAATGTTCCCAAACTGATCCCTTCCAGTCGTAATTGTCAGTCAGCTGTTGGGCATCGCCAGATTCCTTTTTCCACACAGTTACGAGTACGTCGGATTTGAGTCCCGGTTTTCACCAAACGCACTTATGGTGTTTTAAGTTTTCACACACATATATAAAGTATATTTGGGTTAGTAATGATAGAAATAATCTTATTTTATTTTATTTTTAAAAATTTAAATTTAAATAAAAGTCATATAATCCTATAATGTGATTCACATGTTAATAGACTCTTATAAGAAAAGTCAACCTGACAAATTAAAATTTGTCTAAATAATATGATTAAAAAGGATGTGTAGATATAAAATAATGGAAAAAGACATGAGTTTTATTAAACATTCACATATATTATATGTATATAATTTGATAAATTAAATAGCAATGTTAAAATTGAAAGCATAAAAATAAAGAGTTAATGTATAAATACAAAAATAGTTAATTAGATATATTTAATATGATTTTTATACATATAGCCATTAAATATTTTTTTATGCAAAGTTTCAAAGCTTAACTGAGGATTAATGATAAACATCAACTGAGCTTATGTTAAACTTTCATCCTTAAATTTTACTAGTTACTTTCTTTTTCTTTTTAGGGTATTCTAGTAAATATTTTTGTTTCCTTGGAGAAATTTTATCTTTTTCTTTCCAATAAAGCAAGGTGGACCTACTCCATCTATTTTCCTCCCATGGGTGCCAGTCCGTTAACCTTTTTGTTTTTTTGGGTCAAACAGTCCGTTCACCTAATGAGCTTTCTTTGCTGAAGCAACAAAAAGCTGCTCCACTGTTCACACACGAGAGGACCCAAAAGTGAATTTGCAAAAATACGACACGAGACGGGTACAAATAGTCAAATACACCTGATATGCTAATTAGCTTTCGTGAAATAGCTTATAAGCATTTTTTTTAATTTATGATTTACAAAATATGATGAAATAAGCCTTAAATTTATCAACCAAAATTATACAATATAACACACAACTCTAGTGGTTCGACTTTGAGGAGCCAAAATGAAATTAAATCTTAAGTAACTAAATGGCATACAACCTAAACTATAAAGTGGATTTTAATTTGATTAACTACCAACCAAATGCCATGAATTAAAATAAATTTAAAAGACTTGTTTTTGATGTTTTTATATTGAAATGGATGAAATGAAATGACAGTGAATGAAACACACGAGAAAACAACGATAAACAACAATCCCTCCAATTCAACAACAAAGACAATCATCACTTCAACAAATATGGGAGTTAAAAATAATGAACCAAGAATTGTATTTAAACTTTAACCTTATGTTTGGTATGAGGAAATTGAAGAAGAAGAGAGGGAAAGAAAAATTTTAACGAACTTGATTTAAAAAATTTAAAAGGTATGATTATAAAATTTTGATAAAAACATGTAAGATAAAAAGGCAAGCAAAATTAACTTAAAGTTTTTAACCTCACTTCTCCAATTTTTCAAACTAAGTTCCTTAAGATTTTTTTTCTTTACTCCGTTTTTCTCATAGCAAACAGATAAGTCCAACAATTGAGCCACTTTGAATTATCACAAAACATTTTTTCAGAGTCATACTTACTAATTGTGACTAGAATAGTAAAATAGGATTAAAGATACTAAAAACTATTATTTAAACACAACTCAGAGGTTCACAAAACAAAATCAGAGATAACAACAGATACCACAATCCAATGATTCAAGTCACCTTGAAAGATCACAAAAAATTCACTAGAATCGCGTTACAAAGTGTTGACCCAAAACAAAGTATATAAAATCAAAATTATAAAAGCGAAATATTAGCTGCTAAACAAAGATTCAACTATTAAGAACCCTCTGAAGGAAACATAATGACATTACGAAGCTCTAATCAAATAGCTAATCCTAAGATCTAGGAATAAATAAATAACAATTGAAAAGAGAATTAAAATAGCTAGAACTCCCAGATGAAGGCCCAAGCTCCTGTCATTGTTACTCACGGACGGCCGTAGAAATCGTTGCCACCAGCAAGCTTTCATACCCCGGCCATGAAGAAAAGTGAGAAAGATGACAGAAAAATGTGGAGAAATGTCGAAAATGTTGACAAGATAGTGAAGACAGCAAAGTAACATGAGGGAGACGATGGAAAACGCGGGGAGACACAATGGAGATGGTTAAAACAGTGAAGAACGTGAAGAAGACGATGAATGAAAATAATGATGACAAAGATGAGGTAGTGGACAGAGAGGTCGATGGTGATGAAAGAAGAGGATTTTTAGCAGAGAATGATGGAATGGGATAAAAAACGGAGGTCTGCCATCGAGCTCCTCTTCCCCACGCTGGTCTTGGAGAAGATGATGAAAAACAAAAAATATTAGCGCCTGAAACGACGTCGTTTTAGTTGCTTTAATCCTTCTTTGCATTTTCTTCATTTTGGGTCCTTTTCTGCATTTGTCTTCTTTCTTTGCTACAATTAATGTTGGGATTGAAATGTAAATTGCAAATATGCTCAAATTCTCCCAAAGTACCTGTAATGGAAATAGAGAAAATAATGCAGTATCAATTGTCCTTAAAAATAAATTAATTATAATCAAACCAAAATATGACAATCTTGCCCTTATCAATCAATAAATCAAAATAAAGTACAATAAACCAAGCAATATTCAAATAATATAAATAAAGTCCAAAATTAGTGATAAAACCCAGCAAAGTAATATAGAAATGTGTGAAAATAAATGAGTTTATCAATAAGCTGGATATATGAGAGGGGTTTTGTTTTGGTTTATGTGAAATGAGCTCATAAGTGCTTATTTAGAATAAAAAAAAGTTTAATCATTTTTTGAAATTATAAGTTCATTTGCATAGTTACTAAAATTTGATTCAAAGAGTTCGTGATTACAATGGTAAATGCAAATGAGTAGTGAAAAGAAATACTACCTTTCGTACGTAATATAAGAGCTAAATAACTAATTTAAAAAGATTTTAAAAATTAGTTAAGTTGATTACTTAGAAGTGTATATTGACTTTCCTAAATTACTTTTTTTAATCATGTGCATTGAAATCCCTATTTGATGGAAATTCTTTACAATTAACAGGAAATACTTCAGGAAAAAAATATAAATTTAAAAAATAAAATGAATTGAAATTTTATATTAAACAGTGAACTCCAGAAGTAGTATATATTTTCACATTGATTGAATTTCAGCCATATGGTTACCGTATAAATTGCTCTCACTTGTTATTAAATTCAAATTTAATTGCGCACAGAAAAATACGAGAGCGCCGCCTATGCACTCTGACCAATTAAAATAAAACAACTCATATGATTTTAATCCAAGAGGCTGATGATTCATCAGAAGCAATCCAATTTTTTTAAGAAAAATAAACGTCATAATTTTGAAAAAAAAAAAGTAAAAACACTCATCAACCAAAAAAAAAAAAATCCCCCAATCCTATGAGCAACAAAGGTTTGGAGCCGCCGACAGCATCTTCAAACTTGAGATTGCCGCCATTTGTATACCTTCTCTTACATTTGAACTCACACATTCAACTATCAATGTGGTTGAGAGTCCTCACAGTCCAAACACAACGATACAATTATTAGGGGCGCGTTCTACCATTAAGCTAATAACTCGTCATGCGGGCCTTCCACTGGGAGCCCACTGTGCCAAAAGCGAGAGAAGCCCCATTTAGCTTATACGTCATTTGAAAGCAGCTTCAAGAATCCAACGAATAGCTAAGGTTTGTTGACGATCCCTGGCTACAAGCCCAGGGTGTAATTAGAGAAAGTCAAGGAGACGAAATGAGAAATGAGAAGAGTAGGTGGGAGGAATTAGGTTGGGGAGAGTCAAGAATCAAAATTTGTGGAGAGTATGAAAGGGTTATATTTCTTTAAAAAAAAAAATTGAATTGCTTCTGATGAATCATCAGCCACCTGGATTTATTTTAATTGGTCGGAGTACATATGATGTGGGACTCTTAGAGTGTTTAAGGATTTCTCATTGCCCACATTTCTTGTCAGAATTTAATTGCACACATTGCAAGAGAGTAAAAAGAAAAAAAAAAACAGAAAAAGCAAAATAATGGTAACTAAATCAGAGTTTCGCATATCCGGTGAGATTATGACAGGAAAAAAAATGAAAATCTATTAAAGTCTTGTTCCTTTATCAAGGGAAAACAAGAATAGAAAAAATTACTCACAAGCTCTTATAAGAAATTCTAAAAATTCCATCTTTGTATGAGTTTTATAAATTTCACCGTTATTTGTAAAGAGAGTAAATAAAAAATAATGAGTAAAAATTTATTACAAAAGAAATAATAAGTGACATGTAATTTTAATGAGAATAAAAATAAAAAGACTATTTTAAAATTTTAAATAAAAAAGATTTACTCTTTATAAAAAAAGAATAAAAGTGCATTCAATAATTTGGTAGTACTTTTACTAAAAAAGATTAAGGGAGTTCTTTTTAGAAGCACCCAAAAGTACTTCTTAGAAGAATTTTTTCGCAAAACGAAACAAACTCCTCTACATATTTACTTTATATCGTAAAAATACTTTTAAAACCATAATTTTGATTTCATCCAAACAACCCTTAAGGTGTTGAACCACAGCACCTGATGATCCACAAACATAAAAATAAAAAAAGTAGAATGTTGATTCATGCAGCTTAATTACACGAATATTCAAAATCAACAGCCTACATGTTACAGTTCATCTCTTCATGTTTGTTAATACCATAAAAGTTAGTTAGAATTTGAATTTAAGTTTAAATATTAGATATCAATTCATTTTGTTTTTTAATTTTTCTATGGACATTCCAATTAATTGTAAGGGACTTTTACATAATTAAAAAAGACAATTTAAGAATATCAACACATATTTTTGACAAATAATTAACTTAACTAATTTTTTTAATTTTTTAAATTAGTTTCCTAACTCTTATATTAAAAACTGAATATGACATTAAAAATAAATAAGG